TTCCTTTCAGGACTTGAAATACTGCACTCCAAGCTCTTCTTTGAGTTGATGATTGTGTTGAGAAGTCTTGTGATTCTGATAGGTTTTCTATTATAGGTGATCTATTTCTTTAATATTCTGTTCTTGTGCTGAGTTTCTGGGATCTTGATTATTATGTCTGGGTGTAGATTTATTTTGGTTATGGCTAGTTGGAGTCCTATATGACTCACTTATCTGTATGTTAGGTCCTTTTCCCATGCTTGGGAAGTTTTCTGTTATAACTTCTGTAAATAGTTTTTTATGTCATTTGTGTTGATTCCTGCTACTTCACTGACACTTATCACTCCTTAATTACTTTTCATTGCATCATCTTGCAGTTCTTGAATTGTTATTTCCTGGCTCCTTGTTATATTTAAGAGCTCTTTCCTTTCACAATCACTAGCTGCCCTCCTTTCTTCAAGGTCTGAAAGTCTATCTTCAGTTTTGTTCAAGCAGTTTTGTCAGCTTTCAGTGGTTTTTAATTTCTTGGATGTCTCCGTGAGTCTTTCATGAATTCCAGTTCTTCTCTATATTGTCTGTTCAAGGTTTTTCTCATTCTCCTATGCTCCTTTTTCTTTTTAATCTATGTCTTCTTTAGATTAAACTCAGCAACCATTTTATTATGTTTGTTATTTCTTCTTTTACCTGAGATATTATTTCTGATCTGGTTTCTTTTACAGCCTCATGAAATAGTTTCTTTATCTCAGTTGCCATCATCCCAGAAATTTCAGGTATGAACTTATACTTTCTTCCATGTCTAAGTCTCCTGGACATTTTCTGTTTGAGCCCAGAGATTACCTTTTGCTCCTTAGTCTTGACATTTTGCTGGGTTTTTCCAGGCAAGTTGGTTGTTGAGTCCCAGGTGCTTCCTACTCTGGCTATCCATCACAGTGTAGGGGGATGTGTCAGGCACCTGGGTTTCCCCAGGAAATAGTAGGATGCAGGGCAAGTTTCTACAGGGCATGGTTGGCTGGTTCTTCTTGCCTGCGACGGCTATCCAAGGGAGAGTCTAGATGGCGTCCTGCCTGCCCATGGAGACTGGGCAGGTGTTGGGAGCCGCGTCTGTGATAGCTCGCCTTGCGCGGCGGACGTGCGGCCTGTGGTAAAGAGCAAAGCCTGAGGTAGATTACCCCTCCCATCGAATATGTTAGTTTCCTGCTTACCGCGTAAACAACCCGCTCAACAATATAGTCTGCCTGGCAACTGATGATGTTAGCCAATCAGCTTGCCTTGCTTACTTTAACATGATTGGACACTGTACCCGTATATATACCGGTGCCACCCCTGGGCGGAAGTAGAAGCCAGGTAGAAGCCCGGAAGTAGAAGCCCAAAAAGGAGCCGCGGAGAGCGGACCGGTAGAGGCTTTGGGGCAGACTGAAGCACAAAAGGAGCCGCGGGGAGCGGAACAGAGGAGGCTTCAGCTGGGAGAACCCAGGGCAGGCTGTACGGAGAAGGAAAATAAAAAGAAAAGGTTGTCCACTACCAGACTTTGTCGTGTGTCCTTCCTGCCGGCCGGGAGCGGACATCGACAGGCAGGCTTCTTCTTTCCCTTAGATTTTTATACCTGATATGATTCTAGCTCTTCCTCTGAATATCAAACTCCCTGAAATCTGGTGTTACACACACACACACACACACACACACACACACACACGCACTATTCAGAAAGCAACTATTTATAGGGGCTGTGTTTGAAATTCAGCTTCATCCTTCGTAGATTGTATGCTCTTTGCAAGTCCACTCATTCCACCTTGAGGCTCACTTTCCCTGTCTGAAAAGTAGGACAAAACTACCGTACAGAGAAATTTAGATGGCATACTCTGGGGAAATGCCCACCTTTGTGGAAGACCTTAGTAATATAAGTCTAAGTAGAAACAGTGAGCAAAACATTATTTAAATGAATGTCTTGAATTCTTTTCAAGAGTTGTAAAAGTACACAAAGAACTTTTTATACAAGCATACAAAGTTCATATTGGCAGGAATGTCTGGATTCTGATGAAATAGGCCTAGCCTCCAGATTTCCACCCAAGACAGCATTTGAGCAAATGCTGCAGCAGTCTGCTCCAGTGTCTGAAACTTTCCTCATCATTGTCCCTCCTATGGGCTAATGCATCCTGCCCAGTGCCCCTGAACGGAAACTAGGGCATCACAAGAGAGGCTTGGGCAGCAAGGCGGGGTGTGGGTGTAATGTATTGGGGTGTGGGGACAAGGATTTTTGCTCTAGCTATGCCCCATACCATCCACTTGTTCCTTACCCAACACTCTGTCATTTGGCTCTTAGCTTCATTTACAAGCTGTGTGTGACAATCACACTTCCCTCACAGGGTTGCTGAGGTTCAGTTTCTTGACTTCAGCTATTGACACTCTGGCCTGTAATTCTTTGTTCCCTGTGCCTGGGTGTCCAGTGCATTCAGGATAGTTAGCAGCAGTCCTGGCCTCTGCTGCTAGATGTCAGTAGCATCTCCTGACAGCTGGGAAACCAAAAACAGTTCCAAATAATGCCAGGATGGGGTGGGAGATGCCTGCAGTCAGCCACTGTGGGAAAAAGTCAAACTCAATAATTCCTGTATGCGCTTTTGTAAAGTTGAAAGCACAATGCAAGTGTTAGTTTAAATGATTTTTCTCTAATTCCAAGGAAGATTAAATTTACCCTTTCAATGATTCCTTGACACTTAATAACTGTTAGTGATAATTGAATACTTGTTATGTGATCTGCTCTGACATTGACTTCTTCTGTACAAAAGGGAACAGAGGCTTTGAGTGCATACACAGCATACCAATTTCACAGAGGAAGAAGTGGAGGCAAGCTTTGAACCTGTGGTGCACATCAGCGGACTCTAAACCCACCCTGTCACGTACAGTCCATCTTGACTGCAGTGAAACACATTGCCACATCTTAGCAGCTGACACCACCACACAGTTGTCATCTCACAATCCTGTAGGTGAGGAGTTTGAGCACGGTGTAAAGGTCCTCAAACGACTATAGTCAAGGTCTTGGCCAGGACTTGGGTCTCATCTGATTGCTTGACTGAGGAAAGGCCTACTTTCAAGTTCACACAGCTATTAGCTGGTTGTCAGACAAAGAAGTAAGCCTCAGGTCCTTGCTTGCTGTCATCAGGAGGCCACTTCAGTTCTTACCAGGTGAATTTCACTGTAGAACAGCCCACAACATGGCAATCTGCTTCATCACAGCCAGCAGACGGTCTGTTGCAAGATGGATATGATGCGATCGTGAAAGGGACATCTCACCACAGTTGCTGTATGTTATTGGTCGGAAGCAAGGTGCTGAGCCAACCACATGCAAGGAATGGGATCACACAGGGGCACACATGATACAGGTGAGGGTCACTAAGGCCATTGAATGTCACCTTGTCGTGCTGCTGTCCTGCCTCCTGGATGTATAGGACATTTGTAACTGCTAGTTCACATGCTGTTTTCTAGTTTTGCTTTTTGTTTTATAGACTACTGTAATCTTCTTGGTTACTATAATAAAGTATCCTAGACTGGGTCATTTAAACAACAATTATTTCTCACATAGTGACATTTGAGAAGTTCAAGATCAAGGTACTCATTGATTAATTATTTACTCATGAGTGCTTGTAGACAGCTGCCTTTTTGCTGTAGCTTCACATTGTGGGGACAGTATAGTGGTGAGAAAGAGACAGAGACAGAGAAAGAGAAACCCCACTTTTCTTTTAAGGCCACTAAGCCATTCTCTAGGAGACTCATGTAGGAGGATCACAAGTTTGATCTCATCCTGGGCAACTTAGTGACTAGGCCAGACACTTTCTCAAAATTAAAAAGAAAATCAAAAGGGCTGGATCTGTGTGATAGTTAACTCTGTTGTCATCTTGAATAAGAAACACTTCATAGAATGGTTTAGCACAGTTCTAGATGTGTCTGGATGCTGGACTTAATGGAGAGGAAAGACCCACCCTGGATATGGATGGCACCAACCAACAGGCTTATATCCTGGATTGGAATAAAAAGGAAAAGAGGAAAGAAGGCTCACGTTTGCTTCTCTGAGGGGAGCTCCAGTCTTTGCCAAGGCCCTTGGACATCTGTCTCCAGGTTTCTAGCACAGATCCTTCAGATTCCAGTTACAGACTCAAACAGGACTCTGAAGTGAGCTCCAGGCCTTCAACTTTTGATTGATCCTCCAGCTTTCCACCTCACAGATGACCCTTTTGCATTCTTCCACCCAGAATCTGCGGGTGACCATGCTAAGCCTACCTTACAAAACCTTTATGTAGCCTCTGATACCAGATGTAACTCAGCACAAAGGATCAGTACCCCCAGCACCTAAAAAATCTAATACTTATAACTAATACTAATATGAGAGTCTATTCTCTAATCCCAACTATGTCCCAAAGTCTCCATCCTCAAATATCATCATATTGAGAATTAGGGGTTCAACTCAAAGAATTTGGGGCAGGTGCATAATTCACTCACAGTGTAGATGAAACTATGTATTCTGCCAAAGAAGGCTGAGGTTTTTCCAAGAGAGGGATGTGGATTCTTCTAGAAGTGACATCTTTTTCATATAACCACCCTGCGATCTGGAATTTGAATGAAGTCTTGCCATTTGATAGGTCTCAGAGTCTGTGTAGTCTGAGTGAATGAAAAATACATCCAAAGGTGCTGAAATAAAATTCAAACAGAATGGGACCAAGGGAAGATAAACATGAATGGGAGTTGGGGAGGGACTCTACAATGTGCAACATGGAAGTCAGCAACACGACATGCAAACACAGCTGTGGAGCTCAGTTAACTGGGCAGTTGAGTCAGCCTCTGCACACAGCGTTTTCTCAGTTGCATGTGAGAACTTAATTCCTGCCTCACAGGGCAGCTCTGAGGGCTGAAGAAGGCAATGCATGAAAGCCCCTAACATTACTTATATCTCCAGCAGTGGCTGCCCAAAATCTTTATTAGTCTCCTTACTGCTATAACAAATTACCATAAACTTAGTAGGATTAAAATAATATGAATTTATTAATCATACTGTAACTCCAGAGTCAAAACATTGTGTTCACTTGAAGATGTTGGCAGGCATTCCTTGCTTTCAGAGACTCTAGGGAAAATCTGTTTCCTTGCTCTTCCCAACTCTTAGAGACCACTGTATGTATCCCTTGGCTTATGGTCCCTTTCTTCATTTTCAAAGCCAGACATGCAGCATTGTTTTTTTTCTCTCTGATCTCCACTTCTGCCTTCCAGTCCTCTTTGTCTGATTTCCCTGTTCCTGCCTCCCTTTTAGCAAGGTTCTGGGATTACATTAGGCACCCAGAATCATCTCCTACCTCAGTATCCTCCATGCCATCACATCTGTAAAGTGGTTTTTATCGTGCAAGGCATTACATTCACAGGTTCCAGGGATTAGATCATGGACATCATAGGGGAAGGCATTATTTAACTGGCAACAATCTATCTTCTCTCCTCAAAGTTTCATATCTATCTCACATGCTTTGACCTTTTTCTTCTCAAGCCAGTACAACATCGGTTCAATCTGAAATGTCATCTTGGTGTCAACAAATCAGAAGCCTCCAACATCAACAGTTAAACCATCCAGTTTAGGTGTGGGTCAGGCTCAGAGTAGAGTCCAGTTTGGTCACGGTTTTCTATCTGTGGAAGGATGAAAAAACAAGCAAGTTATGTGTTCCCAGAACACAAGGTGAGACCAATGCTATTAGGCTAAAGATTGCAGCCTGCCCTTTCAGTGGGGAGGAAACTGAAAGAAAAAAAGAGGGGCTGGTTCTGAGTAATTTCTCAATCCGACAAACTCCATTAAGGTTCAAGGTCTGGCTCCACACTGTCCCCTGTGTTCCCAGCTTTGTTTTCAAAGTCACACTTTCGTGTCTGTAGAAATTTGAGTTTCTGACAGCCCTCTTGCTTTCTGCTTTTTTGGGGTCTCTGTCTCCTGTCATTTAAACTGGCAGTTGCTTTTCTAGCATACCATTCACAAAAGTCTTATGTATCTCCTGTGTCTCTTACATGCACGAACTTGTTACACTTAACCCTCAAGCCAAATTATGCTGTTTTTAAAAATACAGTTTTATTGGAACGCAGGCCCATATTTTTGTTGATGTGTCGTGGATAGCTACTCCCCTAACACAATAATGGAAGAGGTTGTGACAGAAACACTAGGGCTCGTGAGTTCACACAACCTGGCATCCAGCCCTTGCAGAGCATGTACATTGATGCCTGTCCCAGAGCAGAGACTCAATTCAAGTTTGTTAAAAAGTGACTGGCTTGGACAGGTTGTAAAATAGGAGCTGTGTGACCCTAATTCAGAGGTGTTTGGAGCGGTGAGATGGTTGAAGGGCAAAGAATAAAGGTAAGAGAGGTGACAAACTTCGAAAGGAAGTTTGAGCTTCTTGGCAGGTTGCCTTGGGAACTTGGGGACAGTATAATTAAGCAGAAAAATTAGGATGAAAGCATTCATTTGAAAGAAAACAAGGGAAGAAATTCAAGATCTCTTCTGTTAAGGCAGAAGGACCACACTTGGAGCAGAACTTGAGGCCTTCAGTACACAAGAACCATATTGCTTCTTTATCTTCTGCCCTCTGAAAAGAACCTAATGGCCAGGGGTGTGGCACACACCTGTAATCCCAGAACTCTGGGAAGCTGAGGCAGGAGATTTGTAAGTTTGAGCCCAGCCTGAGCAATTTAGTAACTTTGGGAGACCTTATCTAAAAAAAAAAAAAAAATTGAAAAAGGCTGACAATGTAGCTCAGTGTGAAGGCTCTGGGTTCAGTCCCCAGTCCTAAAGGGGAAAAAAAGGAAGCCCATTGTGCAGACAGCATTTGTTAATCCTGTACAGCAGTGCCAAGCTCCTAGTAAGCTGTGATTCCTACCCCTTAGGGGGCTTTTCCCCTGTGGGAGCAAGCTCACCCCAAGTGTAAGGCTGTGAGTGGGTCTGGACATTTCCATAAGAAGACAGCTTGATTAGCCTTATTTAAAATACGATTACTTCCAGAATCCCTGTGCATAAATCAAGTTAGGTGATCACACTCGTCACAGAACCTTACTTGCCTGGTCACCAGCTCAAAGTGTTCTTTGGCCCAAACAAAAAGGAACAAATAAGAGGCACAAACCCACTTGAGGCCCTACACATTAATAGAAACTGATTTTCCCTTAAAAACAGCTCTCTTTGGGAGTTGTAAATAGGAAAAAATAAACCTTCCAAGAGAGCCTTGGAGACAAACACTAGAACAGAATCAGTTTGGGGTTTGGGGGAGGTGGCATGTCAAATTTGTGGTTATTGCCTAAGCATAATGCAAGCTGCCTCAATAGCAGATTTGAATAGGCTGTGCCCACCCGAACCCCAGCAGTTTTTCCTCCCCAGCAGCTAAGCTGGGAGCACCGGGGCAGTTTGCTCTCTGGGCCCATAGACTGGAGTTTCTGCAGCAGGCAGTGTGTTCTATTTCAGGAAATCAGACCAAATAAAAATCATTCCAATTAAAAAGCGCCACCAGGCAAGTAGAACAGCAAGCTCCTGACTCACACAAAACAGACTGACCACCAAGCGCAGCTTTTCATGCATGTTGTTGATGGCAGAGCCACTGCCTTACAGCTGAGAGTTTATTCAGTGGCATAAAAACTGCCTGGTAAATTGGGCTGAGGGAAATTTTTCCCACAGAGCAATCACAAAGCATCTCAATGTGCTTATCATTTACAACAGCCCAGAGGAGGAAAGCACCCTATTTTGATTTTCAGATAATACAGAACCGAGTTATTAGTTGGCTTATTAATACTGAGCCTCAAGTAACAGATATGTTTTGCGAAACACACACACGCACACACGGCCCCCATGTGTGCTTCAGTAACAGCCTGCAATGAGGTTCGTAATGGAAGAGTCTCATTTCATCTAGGGATTTGGGTTCTAAGTGTGCACAAAGAGGAAAACCGTGTCCTGTTAAAAATGCAGTTGGAAAATTCCTTGAAATGCACACAAGCATTTCGCACAAGCACAGTAAGATACTTGCCCTGGAGGAGCAGGGGCTAAGTCAATGGCTTAAGTGTTCAGGGATGTGAGGGAAGAAGAATGGGCTAATATTACAATTTTTATCTAAAATGTCCCCTCAAAAGCTTCATGGGTCTGAAAGGTGATTAGTCCATGGGGGTGTCATATTCATCAGTGGATTAACCCCTTCATGAGTTCATAGCGGAATGTGTTGTGTGGAGATGGGGAAGCTGGACTGGGCCACCGTGGTTGTGGTCTGGAAGGATATATTCTTGTCTCCCCCTGCCTCACCTTGCTTCCTGGCTGCCATACCATGAGCAACTGTCCTCCGCTAGGCCCTCTCACCCCGTCATTCTGCCTTGGAGCCAACCAACCATGACCGAATCCTCTGAAAACTGTGAGTCCAATAAACCTTACCTCCTTTAAATTGCAGGTGTGGTACTGTGTCAGGACAGGAGAGTGACAGGCCTGAGGAACACACAGAAGGAACAGCCTTTGTCGCTCCCCCTACTCTTGTTGCCAAGGGCATGAAGGTGAATCCAGTCTAGGCAAACAAGAGTTCATCACAATCAGCTCAACCCAGTAGTGTGAGTCCTCTCTGCAAATACAGCAGGTTCCAGGGCTCCTGTAGGGAAAGTTCCTGTCCCTCAGGTTTCTCATGAGCTGGTAACAAAGATTCTCTTCCTTTTCTCATTTGCTGAAACCACTACCAGTATTTTCTGCCACTTTATCTTCTACAATTACCTTTTCCTCCTAACAGACTGACTTGTGATTTGGAAGACTGTCTCAGCCTTGTCTTTCTCTCTCTTTTGCTCTTTCTTGTTGATATTTCCAAATATAATGATCAACTTCTCCTGTGGGGAGATGGATGATGAAGAATGTAGGGATTGAGCTAGAAATTGCCCAGCCACAGTTTGATTCTAGACATTAGAAGCTTAGGCTGGGGATTTAGCTCAGCGGCATAAGTGCCTGCCTTGCAAGTGTGCAGTCCTAAATTCAACCCCTGGTACCGATAAAAACGAAAAAGACAAAAAAAAAAATTAGAAGCTTATAGGTAGAAATACGGGTTTTGCTCTCCAGACTCTTTCAGTCAAAAGTGCCAGAAACCAATCAAAGCTTAAGTAAAAAGAAGGTAGTATTTTGACTCATTCAAATGAGTGGAAGTTTGCAGTGTTATTGGCCTTGGCATTTTAGTAAGTCTGGTCATTTTAGTATTTTTTTTTTATTTTAAAGGGAATAAAACCAAACAAAATAAAACAGACTAAAGCCAATCAAAACAAACCAGTAAGTGACCCAGGGCTTCAAAACAATGCAAAATCAATAGTGGTTACCATAATGCCCCTTATTGTCTTTAAAATAGCTGCAGATATCTTCAGACATAGTAAAAATCAAACAAAACAAAACAAACTAGAACCAGTAAAAACAAAACAATGAATGCAATAAAGGACTTCTAGATAATAGTAAATCCAAAGTGGCTACCACAATACATCTTGTTATCTTTGAAATAACCGCCCATGCCATTAGATACAATAAAATCAAACAAAACAAAATAGAATAAAACCCAACCCAACAAAACAATGAAAATAATACAGGACTTCCAAATAAACAATAGGGAATTAACAATGGCTACCACCTTCAGAAGCATAGGTGCCACACTGCATACCATTATCCTCTGAATAGATGATCAGACCACCGGCCCTAGACCTGTAAAGTCAGTGAAACACCAAAGACCACAAACATCAAGCTGCATTTCCCCTCAGTAGCTATCATCACATCCTGTGTTTCTCTGGACCAGCTGGTCACTTACAGGTGGTGGTGAGATGACTCCTTTTGTTTCCCAGCCCATGTACCAAAAGGGACTGGGGTCCAGCTGTCCCCCTGGTGGCCCCCTGGTGGCCTGGTGTAACAACAAGGTGCTGATTCACAGGGAGGGCTTGCTTCTTGGTGACTTCTTATTCTCTTCCCCCAAAGTCTTCGATGGCCTTTAGTAATTATTTTAGCAATCTGTCTCTCTCTTCCCCTCTCTCTCTCCCTGCCTCCCTCTCTCTCTTTCCCTCCGTACCCAGTCCTGCAACAGGATGACCTCAGGCTTCCTTCACTCCTCATTCCACATTAACGATTTCATAGCAACATGGTGCTTTTCCCCTCAGACATCTGCAGGGAAAGATTCCACAGGAAGATTCCAATAGCACCAGTCAGTGGTACTGCAGGGCGAGGACACTCCAGTCTTCAATCCCATACCAGTCTGTAGCCAGAAGAGAAGACTGAGGAGTTTGTCTTCCTAAAAAGTACCTTATATATAGACTTCAAGAATGCAAACACTTTCTCAAGGAAAAAAGAGGGCAAGCTTTATGTACACATATGAGGGAGGAACACTGTATAGAAGAAAGGAATGATCACCCTGTGGTTAAAATAAAAAAGCATAACAAGATGCAGAACAGACTGTCTCACTCCTACCATCTTCCACACAGCTCAGTGAACCTGCAGGAACCAGCCTTGCTCTTGACACTAGCTTCCAACTAGCATTAGCCATTCCAGGAACTGGCCCTACACAGTCATCTGGGGGAGAAAAATCCATGACACAGAGAAGACAGGAAAAGAAAGTGAGGTTTCTCTCTTTTCAAAATCTACTCTTTTTCCCTCAGAGATGTTTTCAAGTTTTCTAATGCAGTGCTTTATTCTTAAAGCAAAACCAACTTGTATCATTTAGAGTTCACAAGTGTAACAGATTTAATTTTACATGTATATCATTTACAAGGCAGATTTACAACGGCCAGTTGCAGTCAGCTGTGGAAGAGTATAAAAGGGCTGTCTGCACACTGGAGACCTGGACAATTATTTAAAGGTGGAAGACCAGGAGCTCACTGCTCGGATCTGCACTGGAAGCTGGAAGGTCTGTGTTAGAATGCTGAAGAGTCTGATCTGCAAGGCCCGAGGTCTGTGCTGGAACCCTGGAGACAATGACAAAGACTGGGAGCACCTCCAGAGAAGCAGAAATAAGATGTCTCTCTTCTTTCCCTTTTTATTCTAGCCAGGCTATAAGCCTATTGGTGGATGCCACCCACATCCACGTGAGTCTTCCCTTTAGTAAGCCAATCATCCACAGCCAGAACTACACTAAACCAATGAGCTAGGGTTTCAAGGTGGCATCACACTTAACTATCACAACCGACCCCCTGTCAATTTGACAGCACCAAGTTCAGCACTGGTAGTCATATGTTCTTTATCCATCACCCTAAAATGTGGAGGCAGCATTTGCCCAGCACCCGCCCAGGCCACAGGTCACACTAGTCTATCTCTCCACCTCCGTCTCCTCTGCATTGCTCATCCAGGGGCATCAGCATCTCCTGGGAGCTTACTTGAAATGCATATTCTTAGACCTCATTCCCAAGCTACTGAATCTGTAGCCAAGGGTGGGGCAGCCATGACCAGCCCTTCCAGGGATGCCAGTGCACCGTGCTGTGCACTCTGCCCACGCTGCCCAGGTCTCCAGACACCAGATGCCCTCCAGCCCAGTGTCCCATTGCCTAGCTCCGCCTCCTGGTCCCCAGGCTCCCCTGTGTGTGTGAGTGCTCAGCCTCCCAGGACCTCGTCCATCCTCACTCACTTCCCAAACAAGAAAAACTGTGTCTCCTTCCTTTGCTGCATCTACCTCCTCTGATGCTCTTTTGTTATCATGACCTCAGAACTGTGCGCCCATATGTCTCCTCTTTGTTTCTACTCTCAAGTTCCCCATTGCCTAGGTAACAAATTATATACCTAGCTTAGCTGTTCAGACCTTAGCAATCCCATCTTCCAAACTTATTGCCTATTAATGTGTTTATTGTTATGAGTCTTCAACATTTACTGAAGTAAGTGTTTGGTGCCTTCTTAAAAGACACCGTGTCTGAGTCTTCTCAGGCTGCCACAACAAAGTGCCACAGGTTACCATGACAAATTCCCAAACATGTCTAAAATAATATTCTTTTCCTACAGTTGTAGAGGCAGGAAGTCCAAGATCACGGTGGTAGTGGGCATGGGGTCTGAAGACAGTTCTTCCTAGCTTGCAGATGGTGGAAACACGCAATACTTTCACACACTCTCCTCCTTTTCTTATAGTGCCACTAGTCCTACAATCGGGGCTCCCTCCTGACCTCATCCAACACTAATGACCTCCCCAGGGACCTATTTCCCCCTGGGTCTGTCACGCCCTGGTCAGAGCTTCAGCATATGAACTTTGCTGGATTCCCAGTCCAGATGCTAGCATGCGGATTCATGTTTACTTCCCACCAAGCTGCATTACTGAGTCCACAGCCTGCCGTGGGGCAGGGGGATGAGGCAGTCTCAACTTTCCTTACCCCACACAGGGTCTCCTCCTGTGCACTGCTCTGTGCCCTGTTCACCCTGCCTGGATCTCCAGACACCTGACACCCCCTTCCTGATGTGCTGTTACACTGCCCCTCCTCCGGTCCCCAGGCTCCCCCGAGTGTGAGTGTTCGGCATCCCGGGAATCCCATCCGTCTTCACTCTCTTCCTAATCAGGACTCTCCCTCCTTCCTCTGTTGTTCTCTGATCCCCCAGCTCCCCTTATGCCCTCGCCTCACCCTGCAAAGCACACCTTTCCAACTCCTTCGCTGACTGCTCTGCCAATAGCTAGCCCTGTCCGTGGATGGTGAAGACTGTCAGTGCTTCTAGGCACACTTTACCGTTAGTTCTTTAGATACTCACGGCCTTGCCTGGAAGGAGTCAGAATTAGCAAGGTGAAATTTAAGGCTAGGAAGTTCCATTTGGCCAAGTTATCAAGTCCTTTCTCTCCCGGAACCCGCTCCCTACCCCAGATATAGGGGTACCAAATGGAGTGCGCAATCTTAGGGAAGAGAAGGTGCTCAGGAATAATGAGGGACACCCTCACACTCTTGGCAGTTTGTTTTTCGGCCAATATACTATGCACTATTATATAAAGTAGGAGCTGGCAGCTGCATATGAACTTAGCGTGCATCCCAGGCCCCTGGGGCTTGTTGGGACACACCATGTTGCTGCACTTTCCTTCTGATGTGAGAAGGCCAGGAAGGGGCCTGAGAACCTGCATGTCTGATAAGTTCCCAGTGACGCTGATGCCACTGTTTCAGGGACACACATTAAGAACCACTGATCTAAACAGCTTTCGTATCACTGCTGGTAATTTAGGGAGAGATGAGTACATATCCCTGAGCTGTTCTGACTGCAAGTGAGACCATCCAAATGTGGTTTAGGCAAAGACTTCACAAGAGGCCTGGAGGAAGAGCTTCCATGGATAGATCAGCAAATAATTGACCTCCACGAGGATAAGTTTCTTTCTGCCTCTCCGGCCTGCCATCCTCAGGTGTTGGCCTTACTCTTGGACTTGCCTCTTTATTATTCCAAAATGGCTACCACAGTTTCAGCCATCACATACAATGTGCTAATAGTGTCTGTCTGAAGAAGAGTACGCTTCTGTGCTTCTTTGTACTTGGGAGGAAGGTCTCTACTAGAGCCCCCCAGCCATATCCCATTAAATCTCATTGGTTATGGATGCCATATGCCCACAGTCGCTGACAAGGAATGACCACACTGAGATGAGGCTGTGCAAATCCCCTCCTGGGGTGAGAGAACCACGGACTTTTGAATTTGGCCAGGGCTGTCAGCCCCAAGGCAGGTGAAAAATGTCCTTAGAGGGGCAACTGCCAGAGTCATCCAGTCACCTCTCCTCCCCCACTGTAGGTGCCTTGAGGGGGGAAATGAGCCAGAGGATAGTACTATGCTGCAAGGGTCCTGGCACTTAGCATAGGGACACTGCACGGGACTTGTTGTGCTTTGTCTACCCAGCACCTGCTCCTTAGCACCTTCTCCCCCTCTCTTCACAGCACCTAGTTTCCCCAGGAGAACCACAACCACCACCACCACCGCCACCACCCTCCCTTCCCAGTCTTAGTGGGCGGGGCAGTCTCGGTGGGCGGGGCAGTCTCAGTGGGCGGGGCAGCCTCAGTGGGCAGGGCAGCCTCAGTGGGCGGGGCAGTCCAATGGGCGGGGCAGTCTCGGTGGGCGGGGCAGTCTCGGTGGGCGGGGCAGCCTCAGTGGGCGGGCAGTCTCAGTGGGTGAGCCAGGTGAGGTACGCAGGCCTGCCCTGCCTTCCCTGTCACCCCAACCTGGCCAGGCTGAGGGTGTTTGGTGGTATCACCTTTGAACCAAATCATGCAAGGAGAAGGAGCCCCCTCTGTGCATGGGAGAACAAGCGTTCCCTCCTCCCCTGCCCTGTCCTCTCCTCCTGTTAGCTAGCTGGAGCTAGTCCTGTGTCAGCCACGGGAGTGCTATCCCTCCCACTTTACAAGTGAAGAGCTGAAGCTCTGTGTATAAGGTCACAGACTAGATGTGCTTATGCAGTGTTTTAATGAGCCCGTCTTTCTGTTGGATGCCACCCAGCAGCAGCATTCACCGTATTTTTGATCATACCTTTCAAAGACACACATGGAAGAGGACTGCAGGAACTGCTTCAGAAAATGTCAAGAATAATGGGATACCAGTATTTGAAGTCTGTGTGTGTGTGTGTGTGTGTGTGTGTGTGTGTGTGTGCCTGCTTAGGTGTATTTTGAGGGGGTTTAATGGCAATGTGTCTTTCACTATAATAAACTTTTTAATTTAATCATTCACTGTATATTTTGATAACATCTCATCTATCTGTTCCTTATACATATAAACAGGTCCTTTTCACCTCTGAAAGGATACATCTCTTCCTGCCTGGGACACCTCTGTCCTGTGGCACATTCATGGTCTTGACTCGTCCCACTATTCACACTGTGGATGATCCGACACGCAGCAGAAGTTGTGTGACTTTCAGCTAGCTACCACCACCTCTCTGCCCTGACCCCCTCGGTCTGGAGCAGCCAGGCTCCACACTGTCAGACTCTGAGTGGCCCCTGAGAAGGACCAAGGTCTTCTGCCTCCAGCCTTACCACGAGCCATGGGTGGCAGCATGTGGGGTGTCGGTCCCACCATGGGCCTCAGCACAGCGGGCCTTCTGGTGACTGCAGCCCTGGGTGACATCACAGCAGACTCCGGAGACATCCAGTGGCAGAGCCTCCCAGCCAAGGCCCTGCACACAGACCCTGAGAGAGTCGAAGTGGCAGCTGCTGTTTTAAGCCCCTGAGCCTTGGAGTGATTGGCCTGGCAGTGCTGGGTAACTAACGCACAGTGTGAGCCCTCCCTCTCTTCCCCATGGATGCCAAAGCGAGGGCACCTGTGCAGGTATGTAACAAGCAGCAGCCCAAACCTTAGAAAACTGAGATTCTACCAACATCATGCAACGTACTTGGCAATAAACATTATTAAAAAAAAAAAAGCAAACACATACATCCTCACGAGAGAGATAAGCCAGCATTTCGACAAGCTTTTGCCATTCTTCACCCTGTAAGGCATTGTGTGAGACACCTAATTCATCAGGGGCCCCAGACTGCCGTGACAAAGTACCTCACTCTGGGTAGTTTAAAACAACAGGAATTTATTCTCCCACTGCTCAGGAGGCCAGGCATCTGAAATCAAGGTGTCAGCAGGGCCCGCTTTCCCAGACGGCTCTTGGGAGAATCTGCTCATGACTTCCTCCTGCCTGCTGGTGTTGCTGCAATCCTGATATCCCTGAGCCTGTACCTGCGCCTCTCAGTGTCTTTCCATGGCTTCCTGTGGTGAGTGTTAATCTCTGGGCCTCTTCTCTGGGATTAGGGTCCATCTGAGTAACATTTTTTTTTTATCGGTACCAGAGATCGAACTCAACTAACTGCCTACTTGCAAGGCAGGCACTTATGCCGCTGAGCTAAATCCCCAGCCCCTGAGTAACTTCATTTTATCTGCGCAGCCCCAATTTAAAGGTACTAAGGGTTAGGATCTGAACGGTTTTTGCTGGGCAGATGCAGTCAGCCACACACTGGCAACCCTTACAGTAAGTCGTGATCATTTTCGCCCTTTTAGAACCCAAACTGTGATAAGAGAGAGATTGCAGATCACTGGCAACTCACACAACAAAGGCAATCATAATTTGGGGGTGCCTCCCACACACAATGGCAGTGACACCAGGCTTCAAAGGAGTGCAAGAGAGCTGTGTGCCAGATGGAGGAGCGCTGGCTCCAAAGGACAGGATGAGAAAACTGGGGGAAGGTAAAGGGGGTGTGGGCTTGAGGGAGGAGCCACGGCAGGCAGGCCCCTACTCCTGCTCTAAGGAATCTGCTCCAGATTCTGGGAACAGACCCCACTGGTGCCTGGGGGGACGTGGCAGCTGTCTCCAGGTGAGGCAGCTCCCAGTACCCAAGGGCAAGGCACTGGAGGAGGGCGCAGGTGTGAGCCTCCTGCTGCCACAATGCAGGCAACAGTTGGGAGATGGGAAAACAGAGCCCAGGGGATCGGGCGGTCCCAGGAGGGAAAATCCAGGTGCTTGGTCCTGGCAACCAAAGGAACGAAGTTGATGAGGTTCAGGAGCCAAGTCTGGGTTGAAAATGTGGGCTTGGGATTCATCCAGATGTGGGGAGCACCTGGAAGCAGGTAGGGTGAGTAAAACCAGGGCAGGGAGAGAACAGAAGATATAATTTGAGAGGGGCCTAACCAGAGATTAGGAGGCCTGCGTGGGTTTAATTGGATATCTTTAATCACTAGCAAATTGCCACCCAGGGTGAATGCTAAGGCCCTGGTCACAGTCAATAAAATCAGTCCCCAAATTTCTGATATGCTTTGAAAACTGAAAAAAAGTCACACTTCTCCCACATAGCCAAAGTTCATTTTAACAGGGAAACTTTCAGACATGCAACATCTTTGCTCAGCATCTGTTCAGAGTTCAGGGGTGGGGTTGGTTGCCTAGACATGGACATCAATTCCATCCCTTACATAACTGGAAAACACTGACCTAGTGGCTTTGTGTTTTGAATCTCAGTTTGCTCATCTGTTAATACGTAGCAATACTGTCTCAAAGAGTTGTTGAGAAGATACCATGAGATGCTAGATGTAAGTCATTAGGACAAGGCTGTGCTCTTACTACAAGCTCTACGAGGGAAGGTCACATTTCATGAGGCACTGGAGCTACTGCATGAGTGTGGGGTTGGATCTGTGGTCAAGTGAGACCTTGGAGATTTCATCATGCCACCTCACAGTACTGAAGACAAAGAGAGCTCTGGAGCCAAAGTGCATGAACTCAGATCCTGCTTATACCAATCACTGAGACCTTTGGTTCGTCTGTAAAATGGTGATGTAGATTGTACCTGTGAATCCTGAAGGGTCACTCTGCAGATTAAATGAACACTAACCAGAATGGGCTTGGTGCAGTACCTGGAGGGTAGTCAGTACTCTTATAATCATTAGCATCCTTCGGCTCCTCCCTCTAAGTTTAGACATAGCAAGAGCCAATCCCTAACACATCCATCTTCTTCCTGCAGTAAGTTAGGGTCTCAAATGTAGCAGTCATGGAAGATGCCATCCTAGACAAATCAGAATGAGTGCAGAACAACAGGATTTGGAATCATTTGCTCTCTAGCTGGGACTCATGTGTCTGTGTGCAGAACCCCCTTGCACCCCTCATCAGCTGCAGAGCTCTCAGTGAGGAGTTGAGCCTCACCTACCATATTTGAGAAGAACGCATGTAAACTCTGGTCTGTGTAATCAGTCTCTGAGCAAGAAGGTGTCAAAAACAACACAGAAGCCGGCCACAATCACCCATGCCCATCTATAATCCCAGAACACTGAGGCAGGAGGATCATAGTCTCCATCCTAGCCAGACATTAGCAACTTAGTAAGGCATAGACTCAAAATAAAGATAAAAATGGGCTGTAGATGTAGCTCAGTGCAGAAGCCGTGGGTTCAATCCCCAGTACTGCAAAAACAAAAAATAAGAAAAAAAAAATACAAAGACTGAGTAACCCCCACTGCACTGAGGCAGCCTCCTGGCCCCAGTCGCCTCTCTGTGTCTTTTCCCTGGCTGGCAGCCATCCTGAAGCCCTGGCCTCCTACTCTGCTCAAGTCTTCCTTCCCTACTCTCTGCTCCAAGTCTTGCTGACACTGTCTTGCAGTAACCCTGTTAGAAGCCCTGTTCCATTCCTGTACTCTCTCCACTGTCTTGATGTGCCAGTACACTGTCTTGGAGTAGGGTTGATGGAACTAACTGTCTCTAGACAGCATGAGGATGAAGACTAAATGGAGGAGGATAGAGTTCTCCTGGGCTGTAGGAGAGATCTACAGATCCTCACCTCAGTACCCTCTGGCCTATCGTGGGCTCCTTCACTGCAGGCTTTTTAGTTCATAATCTTTGCTTATAAAGCTACTGCTCCCTGGAATGTTCCTCTTCCACCTAGCCTAGAATGCTTACTTCTTATCCTTCAAGTCCCAGCATGAATGTCCTCTCTTTCAATGACCATTTGCAAATCAGTGAGGTTCCATCCCTCTCCCAGTTCTTCTGAGTCCCTTATTTTGCTGTTTCTTTGCTACTCATAGTATTTATTGTCCCTTGTGATCCTTGGTTAATTTGTAATGTCCCTCTCTCCTGGTCGGCCCATTTACATTCCAAGCTCCATAAATACAGAGAGGACACACTTGCATCTCCAGTGTTGGCACCTAGTAAGATTTTCAATGAATACCTATCAATAAATAGTGGAACAGCTGTTTCATCTCTTCAACTTAGTGAAGGCTGGGTATCCCTTAATGCTTAGGAGAACAAGAGTTTCAGATTTCCAACGTTTTCATATTTTTGAATATTTGCACTTACATAATGGGATATCTTAGAGGTGGCACCAAAATTTATACACACAGCCTGCAGGTCATTTTATTCAGTATGTTTACTGTACCTGCATTTTGATTGCTAATCATCACTCAAGGTCAAGGATGGGATTATCCTTTTGGGGCATCATGTCAGCAATCCAAATGTTTTGATTTTGAATTTTTGGATTAAGGGTGCTCAATGTGTAGCAGGTGCCTGACCCTCGAAGAATCACTTAACCACTCTGGCTGTGTTTTCCTCTGGAGGGATGGTGAGATTTACTCTCGCTTTTCCTTAGGAAGTCATGAGAGCCAGCCTCTTTAGGCTGCTATGAAACACCTCAATGCCAAGAGCATTGTTATTGACATATATTAGCTGAGCCTTTAGAGCTAGAAGTTCGTGGAGATTGGAACAGTACCCAGGACACACACTGCCAAGGGTGAAGATCCATTTAGTGGAAGTCTTCTCTCCTGCTGATATTTCATGCTTTTATTCCACTCCTAATCTGTGGTAATTTGGGAGGAGCCGGTCTGAAGCACAGAGGGATTCAACTGATTATCTCCTGCCCAGCGCGGTCCCTCACCTCCTGCCAGCTGCGGAAGTGGCTGCCTTAATGGAGAGCAGCTTTCTCCCGGGACGTAGGAACCACTTTGCACTGTGGGTTGGCTGGGTTGTTATCATTTTGCTCAGCTCTCGCTGCACATGCAGTCTGCTACTGGCAGAAGAACATGCAGGGGAGACCTCGTTGGCCTTCCCTCCAAAATGGAAAGATTTTGTGAAACTTGAGTTTCGTCTTGCCAACCCCGCTCTCCAGCAGAACAGAATCAGCCTATGCTGATTTGCTCCAGCCATATCTCACTCTGATCTTGCTATTATTTCACTGACAAAATGCCTGCTTTTCATGTTTGCACCTGGAGTCACCAATCAGTCACGGCTGGCTCCTGAGTACTTTTCTGATTGTGATTAGTAGGGCTTGCATCCTGGCCTCATGGCTGGGAGGTCCCGGAAAAGGAGGCCAATCAGCACCAACCATCTTGCATCTGCTCTGTCTCTTGAAATTGATCTTTCTCCTCACATTTCTCTCCCTCTTTTGTTTTCCCATTCATGTGCTCTCTTACACACACACACACACACACACACACACACACTCACATACACACACACACACACACACACACACACACACACACACACACACACAAAATACTTACCAAGGCCTTGCAAAGATGGAATTGTGTTCTTCGTTTATTTAAAGTGAACAAAAATAAATCAATAATCTAGACACAGCCCCTTGTGCACCTGGATCATATCTCAATTTCACCCCATTCCGTCTAAAAGGGTGGTACTGCCCGTCTACCTGCGTGCTTGCAGTAGCCAAGGAAGAAAGGGGCTAGATCAGAGGCTGCCCAATAGAACTTTCTGCAATGATGAGAAAGTTCTGTATCTGTGTTAATGTGGTGGCCACCAGCTGTGCACAGCTGCTGAGCTCTCGAAGAACCACTGAATAGCAA